GAGATATCTCTAATATATTTTCTATATTATTTCTAATAGAATCGACCATTTAGCCATGCGACCTGCCAACTCGGGCTTCCTCATGATTGACTTCATGGGATAATTAGTTCGAACACAAATGGTATGGGATTCAAAATAAGGGTGAAAAAAGGCGAAATTTAATTGAGGCAATAACTAAAGCTAAAACCAATTTTTTGAGTAAGACGTACCTGGATTCGGGGCCATTTAAGGACTTACTTACATAATATACCGGAGTTTGTTGCCCCTGCTCTTCTTTTGTCAAAACTGCACTGACGGCGTGTTCTGAAACGGCTAGATACAACTGTAACTCGTCGTCTTTGGGTTTGGCAAGTAACGGCGGGGACATCATGTATTCTTTTAATTGTTGGAGTGCTTGCTCATGCTGATTTGTGCATTCGAATTTTTTGTTCTTTCGCAAAACGTCATAGAACAAATGGCATTTGCCCGACGACTTCGAAATGAAGCGATTCAGGGCTGAAACTCGTCTTGTCAACCTTTGGACATCCTTGACGGATTTAGGCGATTCAATGTCAAGAATCGCTCGTATTTGTTCTGGGTTCGCTTCTATTCCTCGTTCGCTGACAATGTAGCCCAAGAATTCTCCCGATGACACTCTGAAGGCACACTTAACCGGGTTAAGATTTAGATTATATTCCGGTAGCTTCTTGAATGAATCCGTCAGGTGACTGATGTGATCTTCCTTCTGTTTTGACTTGACGATCATGTCGTCGATGTAGACTTCCATGGTCTTTCCCAACCGCTCCTTGTACATCATGGTAACCAGCCTCTGGAACGTTGCACCTGCATTTTTGAGTCCAAAGGGCATAACAATGTAATACTCCCTCCGTCCCCCAATTAAGTTACCACTTTCCTTTTTGGGCATTCCCTAAATTAAGTTCACACTTCTTTACTTTCCTTATTTGGCAAATTATCTACATCAAAACAGTGTCAAACAGTGCCAAACAGTGTGAAACAGTGTTTGAACAGTGCAAAACAGTGCACTCCACAGTAAAGTCAAATTTATTTTCTTAATACGTGTGAAGTCAAACCGGGAACTTGATTGGGGGACGGAGGGAGTAATACGTACATGTCTTTGTTATGAAGGCGGTCTTCTCTTGGTCATCCGAGTGTAACTGAATTTGGTGATAATCGCTGAAAGCGTCTATGAAATATAGCATCTCGTGTCTGGCAGTTGCGTGAGCCAGTACGTCAATATGCGGCATAGGAAATGAATCCTTTGGACATGCTTTGATTAAGTCGGTGAAGTCGACGCAAACTCACCACTTAGCTGGTTTTCCCTTGTTCTTTCCTTTCCTTTTTTGCACGACGACGATGTTGGCTAACCAGTAAGGATACTTGGCCTCTTTCACCTTGCCGGTTCGGAGCAGTGTTTCGACCTCCTCGTTTACTATGTCGTTCCGTTCTCTGGCAATCCGTCTCCTCTTCTGTCTAACGGGTTTGAATGACGGGATGACATTTAACCTGTGAGTTATGATTTTTGGATCAATACCTGTCATATCTTCGTGGCTCCATGCGAACATGTCCTTGTGTTCTTTGAGGAAGTCTATCAGTTCGTCTCAGATGGACCGGTACGTTCTTCCCGATGCGGACGACCCTTTCTGGATGTTCTGGCTCGACGATGACTTCTTGTGTTCTGGCATCATCTTCCTCCAGAGCAGGGTCACCCTTTGATTGCTATGCCGTCTTGGAAGTTGTTTGGTTTCTAGTTGGCTTCATTGTTGTCTGGTAGCATGACTTGGCTGACTTCTGATCCCCCCTAATGCTTTGCACTCCCCACGGTGTTGGGAACTTGACGACTTGATGATACGTCGATGGAATGGCTCCCATTTGATGTAGCCATGGGGTTCCCAAGATCATGTTGTAGGCTGGCAGGTTTTTGACCACATCGAACTTGACCTGCATATTAAGACCATGGGCAGATACGGGTAAAGATATGTTACCTAAAGTTCGGCTTGGTTCCCCGTTGAATCCGACTAGGCTCGATCCAGATTCCGTCACGTCCTCCTCCTTGACTCCTAGTTCTTTCATCATTTTCATAGTGGTAACATTGGCGGTGCTTCCATTGTCCACAAGGACTCATTTGACTTTGCAATTTGCCACTCTGAGAGAGATGACCAACGTGTCATGATGAGATTGTGTCGGGTCAGGAATATTTGTTTCATCAAAAGTGATTGACGCATTTCTCCACTCCTCTTGACGTTTCTCGACCCTACAGACCTGCAATGACTTGTCTCGGGAATAACCCCGAGCGTGTCTCTTTGCTGCAGAATATGTTAACCCACATAAGTCAGATCCTCCGTTAATGAAGTTAATTACCTTACAAGGAGCTGACGGTGAAGGAGGTCTCAGTTCGTTTGGTGACACTTTGACATTTCGTCCCAGAAGCGATTTGGTATGTTCAGACATGATTTCTGTCAGATAGCCATTCCTCAGTAAGTATGCCACCTCTTTCCGCAGCGCGACACAATCCTCAGTGTTGTGCCCAATGTCATTGTGAAAATCACAATGCTTACTCGGGTCTCGACGTCCGACTGATTTGTCGGTTTTCTTGGGCCATAGAACTTTTTCCCCTAGCTTCTCTAAAGAGTGGATGAGTCCTGGGGTGGTGACATTGAAGCAGTAATCGGTGATGACGGGTGGCAAAGCTGGATCATCAAGCCATCCTGCTATTGACGCTACGGGCCGATCCTCGGTTCTAGCATAGGGTTTGCCAGTCCGGTAATCGTGCTTCCTGGACGTGTTGGATTTACGTTGCCCCCCGTCATGTCCATCCTGTCGAAGCCGTGATTGTTGGTCCTCCTCGAACCTGATGAAAGCTAAGGTCTTGGCCTGGACATCTTCGAAGGTTCTGCAGTGGTATTTAGTCAGTTCTCTGTACAGTTCTGAATCGTCGATTAAACCCCTCCGAAATGCCTCCACTGATGTCGAAGCGTCACACCTGGACTCTCAACCACACATGTTCTCCGATGTCGACTTCCCAGGGCTACCGGCGAAGTCTCCTCGTAGATTCAAGGGCGTTCCGGCTGTATCATTCATTGCAAATGAAATTCAGGTTCTATCTTCTAAATTTTTTTATGCCCTTGTTGGGACCTTCCCACAGAAACGCCCTCCTTTTCTTCGATACGAAAGACCAAGGAGGCGATAGGGTTTTCCAAACCCTACTCAATCGGGCTTCTCCACTCGCATCAGATACTTTTTAATTTTCGTTCAGATTTGGATTTTCAAAGATTTTGGCTTAAAACTAATCGGGACTTCTTCAGTTGTGCTATGAATGTATCGAGCTGGACTCCTTCCTACGCTGTGGAAGCTGACTCCCCCTTGTGTCTCGTTTGGGTAGCCATGGACGACCTACCAGTTAACCTACATGATGTGCGAGCTCTGTACTCCATAGCTGGCTTACTTGGCAGACCACTCAAAATTGATGCTCCAGCTGCTAATTTTTCTAGGCCCTCTACAGCTAGAATATTGATTGAACTTGACATGTCTAGGGAACTATCTCAAAAAAATTGGATTGATAATGGTGAATTCAGCTTTTTTCAGGCTATGGTGTACGAAAATTTACCTGTTTTTTGCACTGTTTGTTCTCGCTTTGGCCATACCACTAGGAATTGCTCCTGGTCCCAAAACCAATGATGCAAAAAGCAGAGGTTTCTGGGACTAAGGATCTAATGACTGATGTTCCAAATATGCTTGTTTCAGTCCCTTTGGTTGTTGATGCTACAAATTTAGCTGCTAGTGTCACCTCATGTGATACCATGATTCCAAATAGGAAGGCTGGGGATAACCTTGTGTCCCCTGGGACTGAAAAATCCCCCCCCCCCCCCCCCCCCCCATCTGATAATGATCAGGACAAATCTACTGCCCCCTGGAAACTAGTGTTGAGGGTACTGATACTCTCTACAATATGCCTTTTGATGCTGAATTTACAAAATCTGAATTCGGTCTCAATGAAGTAACGAGCTCCTGTGATACCATTTGTCTCAATGCTGATATAACAGTTCCTACAGCCCCGTTTGTAACTATAAATGATCAGGAAGTTGTTTGTGACTTAAACTGTACCACAACAGTTCTTAGCCAGGATGCTTTTGATAAGGAAGATCTGTCGGTGGCTACCCTTCACGTGGCGGTAACCGAGGGATTTTCTCATCATGAATTGACGAGTGTCACAAATAATGTGACATGTGATACCTTACCAGCAGGTCTTGCACCTGGAGTCCCAACTGAGGCTAAATTTGGAAATGATGAACTTCCTTTTGATCTATCTTTAGCAACTCACAAGACTGATACTTCACTTGATCCACCCCGGTCCAATGATAATACTCAATCTGAGGACACACCCTTTTCTACTAACTCTGCTCTTGTAGGTCGATCATCGCACGAGGATGAGCCCGACCGCTTTACTCAAGTCAAGAAAAGGAATAATAGAAGCCAATGCATCAGGCCCCCAAACGCAACTCTAGAAGACAAACAACTATTCTATGAAGTGGGATACACATCACACCCGATGGTCACAAGAAGTCAATCCAGACGCCCGCAAAATGATTCTGATTACTACATTCACCCTATTGATGCGAGGCTCGACTCTCCACACAATCTTGCATTGACACTCAAACGATACAAGTCTTCTCACCCGGAAGCAAAAACTTACCAAAACCATCTCTGGAAGGCAATCCAGTTCCATAATAGATATAACATATCCATTTCAACTTCACTCGGGATACCTTCAAAAAATTTGAATGTTAAAACCTTTTAGTTTTTTTTCTCTACGTTTCATTAAAACTCTTGTAATTTCTTTATTTTAATAAATTTGGGTAGTGTTCCTCGACGCTTCCACCACCACGTGCGGTTAACTCCGGGTAAAAAAAAGTACACCCATGTAATGTGAAATTGCATATTTGTAGCTATAACTCAGCATATACATACTCCCATATAACACAGCTTCACCACTAGGGACAGATTTTCTGAATTCATGTTGTCTGAAGAGTGGTTATACTATAGCACAAAGAAATAGAGGGTGCTCTAAATGGGAAAAAAGAAAGTTTACGTTTAAAGTTTTCAGAACAAATAATGTTTCCATACCTTCAGCACACCATAGACCTAATGTAGGTCCGTCTATGGGACCACATTCAAGTCTAGAAACTCAAAAAAATGAAAACAAAGGCATAATATTCAACATAAGGCACAGCTCATATCCAACCTAAATAAACATGAAGCTATTCAATAAAGACCACAAAGCTCACACATTAACCTCCACCATGACTCATGAGTACTCATGTCCTCCTTTTACCCTTCAATAGTTCAATCCATAAAAACACTGCTCACAGACAAATCAATTACATGCTTAATGGCTCCAGAAAAAATGTTAAGAAAGCACATAAAGTAACATGCCATTAGACAGCTCTTAAATAAGTAAAACGAAGAAATACTACAATGAAATTACCTCATCACCCTGCTTTTTGCTGGACAAACCAAAACCAAATGGAACACACCAAAAGAAAGAAAACACCATACTCAAATATCTGACTACACGGTATACCATACACAAACTAATTAAAAACATTCAAACCTTGAACTCAAAGAACTAAGAAGTGAGTGTACCTAGAGCAACAATTTTAGCACCTTACGGGCATTATAATTTTATCATGATTTAAAACTGAAATGCAAAAACGATAATTACCCCCACACAAAGTTCATGTCCAAAATAAACAAGAAGCAAGTATCACTCATCATTTTCTCAATGTTACCAGGACAAACCAGACACCAAATGCCTCTTCCTGAAAAGAAAGCCCATATTCTTAAAGGGGAAATGCTACAATAAAATAAAATGTCTTTTCTGAGAAGAAAACATAAAAATCTTGAAAAAATATTGAGAGCCAAGAGAAAACATTAGAGCCTTTTGCACCAATTTTCGTACTTTTTCCTCATCAAAATTTTTAAAACTAAATTGCATAATAGCACAAGCAGAGTTCATAACGAAGATAAAGCATGAAGCTATTATACCACAATACATGCTAGATAGGCACATTAACTTCAACTCTCAGTGATAAATCCCTCCTTTCGCCCCTCAAATCCAGGCCTCATGAGCTTCTTCTCTCTTTTAGCTATTTTCCTAGACTTCTTATCCTGGATTCTCCCTGAAATGTTCTCCTTTCTCTTATGTTGTCTCTCTTCCTTCAACTTCTCTCTACTTTCTACCCTTTCCTTCCATTTTTCAGTGCTCTTCTCTTTTCTCTTCTTCTCCTTCTTCATGCTCTCCTTCAAAAGCTTTGGATCATTGTGAACCTTCATCCCCATTGCCCTTTCCGCTGCAGCTTTCCATGACTCTTTCTCTGCCACCTTTGGGTTCTCCTTCTTAACCTCTTCCAATTTCTTCAACCTCTCCAGCTCTTTCTCTTTCGGTATCTTTTTCTTCTTCTTCCTCTTTCCCTGCTTCTCATCGTCCCCAATCTTTACTTTCCCGTATTCAATTTCACTCAGAACGGCTCCGGAATCAGCTACACCGCTGCCAGTCTTTTCAGTATTGTCTTCTTTGTCACCGTCCCTTTTTCGCTTCTTCCCTTCTGACTTCACAAAACTTCCATCCTCGACATCCATTTTCCTCTTAGATCTCTCACCTGTACCTCTATTACCTCGAAGGGCCTCGATTTTCCTTCGGAGCCTCAGCCGCAACTCTTCATATGTGACAGAACGGTCATCCGTATTCTCCTTTTTATCATCTTCGCCCAAATTGACAGGTTTTTCGTTGTCCGAATCGTCCGCATTCTTCTGCTTGTCGATGGATTCTTTGAGGAGGTCGAGAGTTGAAGATTGCGCACTCTTCTGTTCCGGGTCGAGTCGGTTGCGACGGGCGAGTTTGATGTTCTCCCTAGACTGCCGTTTAAGAGATGCCTTTTTCGCTTTGGACAAGCCTGGGTACCATGGCTTGGAGTCCTCCTCGCTTGGGAGGTAGTATTTGGGTGGGATCAGATTTACGAGATTGTCGAAGAAGATGCTATTGGACCGGATGAGGGCTTTTAGGTCAGCACCGGTTGGGGAGACTGACGCCGCTTCGACGGCGGTAGACCTTTGTTTCTTCTTCATGATTGGGGCGGAGCAGCAAGACAATGCGCTTAAAGCTACTCCGTATATTTTTATGAAGAGGGCCTCTTATTAAAATGGTGTTTGGGTCTTTGGGACCTTGGGAGTTGGGACTGGGCTTTTTTACATTAAATTAGCTGATGGGCTAATCTTTAAGTGTCTAAAACCAAAAGGGGTGATTCTAAATGCAAATCCATATTTGCCAATTCCAAACACGGATTTTCGTAATAAATTTCAATTCATATTCTGCCCTTCTTATAATTTAACGTCGTCGTCTTCATCGTCCTTCATGTCTTTCTCTTTAACTGCGGTGACTAGGGGGCTGTTAACGAGCCGAGCCGAGCCCTAACACTCAAAGCTCGAGTTCGGCTCGATAAGGAATTAGTGGTGTTCGGGTTCAAGCTCGAAGCTCGATGAGCTTTACAAATGAAGTTCGTGTTTGGCTCGATAGGCGTTCGGTGTTCGAACCGAGCGCTCGATAAGCTCGATAAATATCTCGAATTTAAAATTTTAGGTGATGCTCGTTAATAGGCTCGTGCTCGAATGATTAGACAAGTATTCGGTTCGTTAATAATCATATTTAAATTCATAAAATCATACTAATTATATTTAAATTTTGACATATATATAAATTATATTTATAATTTCAGGTGTTCGATAGGCTCGAGTTCGAACCGAGCCGAATACTACTATGTTCAAGCTCGACTCGATTTAGTTCTCGAACTTAAAACTCAGCTCGGGTTCGAGTTCGAAAGCTCGTTAACCCTCGGCTCGTTAGGTTCGTTAACGGCCCTAGCAGCGACTATACTAATCCCTATCAGGTGGGCCAACCGCAATTTTGCTCAAATGAACAACAGTAGCACCGATGCGAGAAAAGATGTAGCCTTTACTTTTGTTAATCAGTTCAACAAGGCTCCCAACACTCACCTTGTCTTGCATATCTAATGTTGTGAAATTTACAAGCCCAAAATTTTCTACCAACTCACAGAGCTCCTCCGTATTTGGTAGAACATGGATCCATATCGAGATATGACAAATCTTGTACATCTGTATAGCAATCCAGACTATAAGCTTGCTTCATCTAGCTTTCCATAAGAAATCTTATTCATTTGGTAAATTGTTGGTCCCGGTTGTACTGGGTACAGTCTAGAGGGGGGTGAATAGACTGTACTGGTTTTTTACTTTTTCGAGCTAAGTACCAGATTTAACAGAATAGCATGTTCTGTTGGTAGAACAGACTGGTAGCGGATGGTCTTCTGGTAGGGGTTCTATCCGGTTAGCCTCCAAGAGATGCAAAGGCAATAGGCCTTCTGTTAACTCACGGGAGGGGTTCTGCTGAACACAGAGACCAAATCTCTGGAGTTAAACAGTTTAAAGTAAATGCAAGAATAAAAAGTAGTAAGTAAATGACACCAGGGATTTTTATAGTGGTTCAAGGAACAACTCGTTCCTCTAATCCACTGTTCCACTAAGCTTGTAAAAACGACAGTTTACAACGCCTTAGTCCTAGCACTTAAGAAGCTCTCCACGTCTTCTTCAAGCCTAGATGTCTCCTAGGATGCACTTCCTTGCTTACTTTAAGACTAGTCCTTTCACTGAGCTTCCTTGAAGTAACACCACTTCACTACTCCAGTTACTTGGACGTCCTTCTCGTTAGAGATGAGTTCTTGTAAGAACAGGGGTTTTCCAACTTGCTTGGTTACAAATGATGTGTGGTTGAAGAGCTTGAAGTGTTGAAGAACAGTTGGAACTTTGCTTCTTGTTGGAATGTGAAGATGTGAAAATATAATCTTTCCAACGTTCGTCTTTCTTGTTGAAGAATGGAGTTTGAATCTCAAGAAGGCTTTGTGCGTTTGAATATTTGAATATTTTTGTTCTAGCAAGTGTTGAGCAAAAGTCTCCGTTATATGGTTGTTCTTCAATGAGTAACTTTTATACTGAGGTTGTCTTCCCGTTGGAGGAGGAGGACAACTGCATTAAATGCACGAAGAGTTGACTTGACCAGTAGGACCCAGTAAAGTTGGCGAGTTGCTATTTTGGGATAAGGCTATCCTGACATTTCAGGCAATCATATGTATTAACTCTTTAGCGTACGGAGTGCATTAAATGTGCATTTAATGCGCATACTGTAGTTTTTCCGTTGAAGTCTTCTAGTCGTTGAAGGAATCTTCCGTTGGTTTCACCGGCTAAAGTAGATTCATGAAAATTCACCAAGTGTCAGGCCTTCTGGTATTTTCAGCAGAGGGTGAACCAGAGAGGGTCTCGAGCACTTCTGTTGGAATAAGCTACCAGAGGGTCCTTAGGTCTTCTGTCAAGAAGCGAGCCAACAGAGGGTCTTGGGATCATCGAGCCCCCTTTTTGGCATCATTAAGATCCTCGATCATCAGACTAAGCTTCTGGAATTCTGAGGCCTGAGATGTAGCAATCTGGTCAAGGGCTTCTGGTAGAGTTTGGGTGACAGATGTGAGACCTTCTATCAACCCTTGCTGTTTCTGGGTAGCAGAGAAGATGTCTTTGTTGCTTGCTTCCAGTAAGATCATCTTCTGATATCTGTTGTTGTCAGGAGCTAAAAGTAATTTGCCTTGATCAGAGTGTTCTCTGCAGAGTGCTTCTAGTCTGTGTAAAGTCTCTTGAGTTTGAGTATCAGACTTCTGTAAGCAGTCAATAGCCCGAGAAAGCTTTGTAAGGTTAGCATTCTATGAATTGAGAGTCTGATGCATGGAGGAGAGAATAGTTTTGATAGTATCCACTTCATTGGATAGAGCATCAACTTTTGTATTGAAGGAGGTCATGAAGTTGTGCACAGACTGTTTTAAAGTGGCAAAGCTGTCTGAGATGAACTTCATACCAGAGTTGAAATTGTCATTGACATGCGTGAGATGTTCAAAATGACTCTGGTTTACCAAGATCAGCTTGTGCATCCCACCTAACATCTGGCCACCAAAGTCTTCAGCCGCTTCTACAAAATTGGTAAAGGGTATCTAATATTCTGCATCCTTGGAGTCAGACATTCCCAGTCCTCTGCTCTTGGGCATAGGAATGTACTCTTGAGCAGATGGGAGGAGTTCCTGCTGCATTTCATGCTCAAGTTGTGTAAGGGGAGGAGTCTTCCGCCTTTTAGAGGTTGCCTTGTTGGTGTCGCTGACAATGAATCCATCCATGTCAGAGGAGTCCTCATAGGAGGAGTAAATAGGGATTCTGTTTCTGATCACCTTCTTCTTTCTGCGGAAAGAGTGGTTGGAAGCAGTAGAGTGCCTAGAGTAACTAGGAGGTGCAGAAACAGGAGAAATGGTTGTTGGATCGGAGGACCTGAGGTACCAGACTCGGTGTTGCTGAGTTGTAAGTTTCTGTTGTGGAGGGGTAACAGATTTGGTATTCTGATGCTGAGAGCGTTGATGTGAGGGGATTTTCTGCCGACTGGGGTTCTGTTGAGGTTAGGTTTTCTGTTGTTGGGGAGATGGAGGGGGTGAAGGAGATCTATTCCTGCTGGGGTTTTCTGTTTGCAGGGTGATAGGGGGGTTGGTTTTCTCTGAAGGAGTTTTCTGTTTTGATGGGGTTTTCTCTTTAGAGGGGGTATTCTCCTTGGAGGGGGTTTTCTGTTGAGGTGTTGGCAATTTTTGTTTTAGAGGGGATTGAGGTGGAGTGTTGTTAGGGGTGATGATTTTGGGTGAGGGGTTCTGAGGAGGTGAGGGAGGGGTGATGATCTGTTGGGGAGAAGAGGGAGGTGTAGGAATGATTACCTCAGCATTTCCTGATTGGGCTCTTCTCCATTCTACAATCAGTTGTGCCAGAATAGCTTCAGAATCAGAACGTCCTCCTTCTTGACCCTTCTGTTGATTGTGGGGGTCCAGAGATTCTTTCAATGCCTTCTCCATTGCCCAAACATCCAAGGCTTATCGTTCTTGCTCAAAGAGGGGTGCAGTGGGTTCTTCTGCTGGCATATTAGAGAGAGTGAACTTTCCTTTGAGGTTCTTCTTCTTCTCTGCTGGGACAGATAGAAGGAAGTCCTTGTTTAGGCACTGCTCAACGTCTTCTGTGCCAGTCCATTTGAGGACTTCAGCTTCCTCAATTACAAAGTATGGGAACATTCTGATAAACTCTGGGAGGGTCCCACTCTCCATTTTCTCCATGCTAGGACCCGGACAAACTGCTTGCCCAAGGGAGTAAGATTGGTCACCGGAGGTTCTGATGTCTCAGGGGTTCTGTTGGTTTCATCTTGAAGTTTCAGAGAGGAAACTATCAAGGGTTGATCTTTTATGGAAACGGAAGAGGAATTGTGAGGTTCCCCCTGAGTAGTAGCATCCTGCACTACCACTTCCTCTTCTGAGTCACTGGACTCAAACACTATCTTCTTGCCTTTCCAGGCATTCTTTTTGGGTTGGACAGAGGGGACAGAGTCTTCAAGTTCCCCCTGACTTGCAGGAGTCATTACCTTTGGCCTTTTTGAGATGGGGGAGGCAGAAGGTGTGGATTCTGTAGGTGTGGGAGAGCTCAATTTTGTCATTCTAGGTATCCTAGGGGCAATGATATGGTACCTAGAGCTACTGATTCTGTCATTTGGAAGAGAATTTGTAGTATTCATGAAAAAGGCAAATCTTTATGTTCCCAAGACATGGAGGAGGAATTTCTTTGGATACCTGAGAGTAGTGGAAGGTTTACTTTGTCTTCAGCTTTTGAGGAAGTTGGGAGAAGCAAAAACAACATTTTCTCTTTCAGTCATGCCTGGAATAAACATCAGCAGGGTCAAATTCAGATTTTTCAGTGGAAAATTCTTCATAGAATTCTGCCATTCCCTGAAAAATTATGCAGATTTGGAATAGTTTCAACCTTCAAATAACAAAGAAAAATGTTGTTAGATAAAAACGATTTACTGAATTTTAGGTATAAGTAGTTCAAAAAATGGTGTCTACCTTGTCCTGATCAAGTAGCGCTTTTCCCTTTCGTGTTGTAGAGTTCTCACATGTCGTCCCAGAAGAACCACTCTGACGTATCAAAATAAATTTTAGTAACCTTAAACAATTTTTCTTGAAATATTGTTTTCATATTATTATAACTCAAAGCTTA